AGAAAGAAAGAAAGAAAGAAAGAAAGAAAGAAAGAAAGAAAGAAAGAAAGAAAGGATTTTGCAATAGTTTGGTGTGTTTCAACAGGGAGTCCATTCAACTGTCTCTTTATGATAATCACATAAGCTGGTATCCAAGAAACAAAAAAAGAACAGAAAGAAGCCATATCGTGCATTTATTTTTAATTAGCACCTCTTGGGGTGAAAACAATTAACTAAAATCAGTTATGATTTGTTGCTCCTTATTATAAGGAAATGTTGGGCAACATGTTGTGTCATCATCTGGGAAATGAGATTCCACCCTCCAACCTTTTAGTTTTTCTTTCTGGTATATGTAACATAAGACCTTTACATTTTATTTTTCTGTCAAAAGACAGTTTCACACAGCTATGTCTCCGTGATCTGTGGAACTCCATCCTCCCAGTGAAGACTATACGAACATGTAAAAATCCAATGTGGGAGTTATGGGGAGGGAGAGGGGGGAGGCGGGAGGGAGAAGGGCAAAGAAATCAAACTCCAAAATTTAGCAAGAAACAATAGCGAGGGCATATGAGTGTTTTAAATCCTGCATTGCCAAAGCTTAACTCTAAAAACGCCTGCAGTTAGCTCTATAAAAGTCCTTGGCTTGGGGATAAGAAAGAAGAACATAATTACTAAGGAACGACAACTGTGAAGCATGAACTGACTATGGCTCCATGAATGTATACACTCAATGTTATCGCTTGTAACATAATTATTGTTGTTCCAGAGGGAAAAATAAATAAAAGGGAATTGAGAATGTTTGGAGTGAAAAAAAATGATTCTAGAAGAAATACCATATGAATCTATCCACTTATACTTCCACCTCAAGGCCAGATTCTGTGTACTCACACCGAGTAAATAGCACCTTACTCCACAGAGTGTTTCTGTTGAAATCAATGGAACTATTGGTGGAATAAGGTGTTACTCAATGTAAGGACATCAGAATCTGTTCCTGTGATTCCTGAACTGTCAACATAATCAATACTCTTTGGGGAACAAACAAGCAAATGTGATGTCTTACCCATCATAAAGGTTACAAGACTCTATACAGGTCCTTCCTCTGCTGAAGCGTTTGCAGGACAGACACTGGTCTGGCCCTGGCCCCCAACAGCCGTCACTTGAGCACAAGTTGTTACACACCTTTCCCTCTGCAGCTGAAAACAGAGAGAGGAACGAAGATATTTTTAGTGCCATTAGCTATTAGATTGCGAGTATTACTTTCTAACACACCAGAAGGCAAATCCTTCTCTCAGCATCCGGACACAAAGAAACTACTACCCACAGAACGGCCTCTTCCCCTCCCTGCCTCAGAGCAGGGAGGGATTCAGTGGTCTCCACAGCACAGCCCATGCATGGGAAGCAGAAAGACTGGAGTGATCAGCCCTTACCTTCCTAGACACCCATTGTAAATATTTTCCCCTTTCCCATTTCTTGCTGATGAATCCTCATGGGCATTTGCCAGCAGGGGGAGATTTAGCAGAACAGTTACATTGACGGGCCCTGTCGATTTGGGGGGATTACAAGCATAGGAGGGGAGGGGTGATATGTCCTCTCCTATAAAGCCTTTAGGCTGGGATTTGCAGAAGCATTCAATGTTTGCCTAACTCAATTTCAAGTCAAGTAGGATTGACTTCTATTAGTGTGGGGCTCAGCCAACGCTGGACTCTTCTAAGAAATGCTTGCTTGACTTGGGGGTCAACGGGAAGTTATTTTTCAGGGGCCTTTATCCAAAATGAAATCCCTGTGGTGTGTTACAAGAAATCCATCACAGAACATATGTTCTGAAAACAGCAATGAAATAACTTAATTAGACCTGACCGAGCTCAGAGCAGTGCAAGCAGCTTTAGCCATTTCATTATTGTTTATCGTGTGTACTATGGGAGCTCCCAGGGACCAATTGAAAACAGGGCTCCAGTCGTGAAATAAGAGACAGCCCCAGCCCCAAAGAGCTTACAGTCTAAGCAGAGAAGACAAAGGATAGGGACAGGGGATTAACATACAGGCAGACTGACCAATGTGAAGACAGCAAGGAGCATATTAGTGTGGAGCCTTTGTTCTTTTTCTTTTGTTATTTAAACCCTTTCTGTGGAGTTATGTTAGGAGAGGATGAGTCAGACAGAAAGACAAAGGAAGGGAGTGGTGAGAGGTGTTGGAGCAAGCAGCAAATCAGTACTGCGGAGAGAACGCAGGCTCTCAGCCATTCCATGCAGGCTCAGTTTATACTGATTAGACCAGCCCCTGATACCTGACGGAGGTAGGGTGACCAGACATCAAGTGTGAAAAATCGGGACAGGGGGTGGGAGGTAATAGGAGCCTATGTAAGAAAAAGACCCAAAAATCGGGACTGTCCCTATAAAATCGGGACATCTGGTCACCCCTATACAGAGGAGGCTATCATTCTCCCAGATGTGTGGTTTTTTATGTCAATTGGTGCCATGTGATAGACTGTGCAGATTAAAAAGCAAAGAGCTCTCTTTTAAATGTTCTGTCACAATTAGGAAGTAGGAAGACCCATGATTTGATAAAAGTAAAAGAAGCGATAAATGACAAAATATGTTGTTTATTTCTTGGTAGGGTTTTACTAAATGCCATAAAAAACAGACAGTAAAAAAATGACACGTCCAATCAAAAACATACACATATTATAGGTACAGAATAACACCGACACCTATATACACAGATTCACACAGTAGTGATAGCAAAATTGAAATAATTCCCCATACAAAATGCAAACACTAGTCTGGTGCTTGTGCAAACCTGTGCAAGTTACTATGGACATAGCCTATGGGTGTGTATTTTCTTGCACTTCCACAAGTGGATGATAGGTGGCAGTGTGTGGAGGTGATTAAAGAATGCCACATTTCCCTTTCAAGACAACAGATGGTGCTCTTATCGCCAGTGTCAGGGTTGCAACAGTGTTGTTAAGGAAGATTGTAATGGACAGCACCTAACTGCTGAACTGCATATTGAATATGCATCCGAAGAAGTGGGTTGTAGCCCACGAAAGCTTATGCTCTAATAAATTTGTTAGTCTCTAAGGTGCCACAAGTACTCCTGTTCTTTTTGCGGATACAGACTAACACGGCTGCTACTCTGAAACCTGCATATTGAGGTTCATCAGCTGATGAGTACAAAGCCCTCTAAAATCACCCCTGCAGTAGGAAGCTGCCTCTTCCCCCCCCCCAGCATTTTGTTTTTCCCTGATTATTCTTCACTGTATGGCACAATGTTCCATATTTAGTTTCTCTTGGGTGTGGAAGAATTTGTTCCATCTTCATGCCACAAGGCAGAGCGCCTCCATGTGCCTCATTAAACACTCGTTGAATATCTGTCATAGCAGCCCACTGTATAATAAAGTGCATTGCTGCATATATCGATTCCCTCTTTAACTCCGGCTAATCACCTATTTTTCATTGTGCTGCAATGTTCAGTGTTGGCACCATGTTTGCCGAACACATCGTTTTGATCTGTGAGGCGTTCCTGGCTTATGTCCTCTTCTATTTGTTATGTAGTCTTTTATCATACTGTGACAGATGATATTCATGTTGCAAAGACAGGATGCATCCCTTTCATCTGCTTTGCTTGTCTGGTCCCTCCTCCATCATCAGCCAGCTTACTGCCCACTGTATTTATAATAATAATAAATAATAATTAATGGAGATATCCCATCTCCTAAAACTGGAAGGGACCTTGAAAGGTCTATGCAGCACTTCTTAGGGGGGGAAACGTGCAATCACATGTTGCAAAACATGCTGCATTTTCATAGATTTCTCTTTGCTGGCCCCAGGCAAGAAGACAAACAAGTTATCTGAAAAGCCAATGACATACGCAAGGGCTGCAGCTCTGAGAATTATCTTCTACCTTCCCTTTGTCCTTGCAATTGGATGCTATCCTAGTTCCTTGGCTTATAAAGCTTGTGGGCAGAAGTTCTCCATTTAAATTATTTCTTTTTCCACACAAAATGCTTTTGTGGGCTTCACTGCTGAGAGAGGCTTATGGTATTTCACTTTAATCTCCTTCCAGGGACTGTGTGGAGAACTAATCAGTGAGTTGGTGTCCTCCAGCCCACGTGTACAAGCAGCTTCAAAAGGCAGGAGATTCACTATTGCGCTACAGACATCTAGGACCAAGAACAGGCCACAGATTCATCATGTCTGGAATAGTTTGGCAACTTTCCTTTAAGCTTTTTAGGCTAGAAAAGAGTAAAAACATCCACATGCTAAATAAAAAACAACTAAATAGCATTTCTTTCAGAGAGTATGCTCAGGTACATAGTTCCTTCTGTTCCTCAGAGCATCAGTCAGCTACACCCAAGCACAAAGACAACCATTAAAGTTAATAATAATTCCAGATGGCTATGCAATTTTTGTTTGAACATGTAAATTCTTGGCTGAAAGCCTATTTCACCTCAATTAATGGCCCTGATTCACTTCTCAGTTACACTATTGCCTACAGGATAAATGCTTTTGAAGTCAAAAGAACCAGACTGATGTAAAGCTAGTGTGAGAGCGGATTCAGCAGATTCAACAGCAGTCTATCCGTAAACCTATATTATGTCACTTGATTCTCAAACAACTCTCTAAACTTATTTTTCTAATATCCCCAAGCAGTTTTTGATATTTCATTCAGTTTGCCTCTTAATAATCTCCTCCAAAGTCGATGGATTTACACTAACCCTTTTTGTTTTATGTAAGCGGGGGAATGGTCCCGCTATTGTGGGGAACTTTCCTGGCTTCTGCACTACCCCGGTGAAATGGGCTAGCGAAAGGATCTGAGTCCTCGCTCCTACTTCTTTACCCAGAGGCCTCCCTGCCCTTGAGGACTCCCCTTCCACTCTCCTGTCTGGCAGAGTCCTCGTAAACCCCGACAAGGCTGGGCCCAGGATTCCTGGGGGGCTCGACCCCCAACCCTGCTGTGGTCACCCAGGACAGGGGCTAGGGTGTCCCCACTCCGGGGTACTCTCTCTGCACTGGGCACCTCCCTGACCCACTGATCATTTCATACAATTTAAAGCAAATACAAGTTGTTTAATTAACAATTAATTTAAAAAAAGAATAAGGAAAAATGGGAAAAAAGTTAAAAGGAAACACATCACCCGCTCTGTGGCAGGGAACATCACAAACCGTGTCTCTGGAATGTCAGGGCAGGTCACAGTCTGTTCCTTGTCGGTCCCAGGCTCCTTCTCAGGCCCTGGCTGTGCTGCAGAGACGCTGGGGGTTGGACACTTGCTCTGGCGGTGGCCACACGCTCTCAGGCTCTAGGTGGCAGGACCCTTCTTCCCAGCATCGCCCCCGCCCTGTCAGGGTTACGATCCCCCCAAGTCTGGCCTGCAGAGCCTCTTGGCTGAGGCATCTCCCTGCGCTGGGCCCACTGCCCAGGGTCCCCCTCACTCTCCCCAGCTGCTCACCGCACCCAGCTCCAGCTCCAGCTCCACTCGGCCTCAGCACGGCTGCTGCTGCTGCTGCTCTGCCTCCAGCTCCCTGGGCTGCTTCTCTGGCCTCTCTGGCTCTGGTTGGTGCAGCTCTGCCCCCAGGACAGGTCGGCTCTGCAGGCTGCTTCTGTGACTCTGCTCCCAGCTCTGACCTGCTTCCTGGCTGCTTGTCTGGCCCCTCTGGCTCTGGTGGCTGCAGCTCTCCTCCCAGGGCAGGTCTGCTCTCTCTGGGCTGTGCTCTGGCTTTGGGGCTGCAGCTCTGCTCCCAGCAACTTAGCTTGGGCCCCTGCTCTCTCCTTAGCTCGGCCCCACTCTGTCTGACTCAGGCAATTCCAGCTCACACAGAGGATGGGACCCCCCTGGCCTCCTGACCCTCTGATTAGCCTGCCCGCCCTGTCAATCAGGCTGATCTGGAGCATTGGCCTCTCCCCATTGTTCCTGGGGACTGTCAGTCTCAGGCTCCTGATTTCCCATCGACCCTTCCCCTTTTAGTGCTGGGAGTTAGCCAACCAAAACACCCCACTGAATGTTAGTAAGGGGGCAACAGTCCCCTTACATTTAGGCACTGAATCGCCACACACTAGCAAATGTCGCATGTATTGTAGACAACACGATGCTTCTTGTTACAAATATCCTTAGACATTTGGTTCGTGTTTCAGTGTCAGGGTGGAGGCCTGGACACAAACCATGACAGCTCCGAGGCTAGAGATGCCAGATTCCCCA